ATATTTTTAACACAGTTAAGTTAATGTTACAAGAGAAATCATCACTTGCTTTACTTTCTAGGCTTTTGTGTGCTTGATTTCTCACCCGTAACATTACACATAACTACATACCATATGCAGCAAAAAAAAACACATCACACAGAAGACTCTTAAAGGTCAGAAACTAAACTAGTAAACATATACTGGCTAAATCAATCAAAGACTGCTAATTATCATATTTTCCTGTTTCCACCTCTGCATACCAGATGCTACAGGAGCTTAAAGTGACTTGCCTAGTTCAGAGAATTGGTCTGATGCTACTATCATTTCTTCCTTTGGAAAACCATTCTGCAAGACTTAAGGGAATTTTTTCATGTGGTTAATTTCAGCCTATTTCTTTTAGAGCCTTAAACCATGCTATGTAAATCTTCTTTCTTCTGCTACATCCTTAAGCAATATAAATTACATCCTATTATTCCTACATCCTTAAGCTAACCTAACTAACATCCCTTTGTTACTCCTACACCCTAAAGCAAGCCTGCATGTCTCTAATTTGTCCAATCCTTTAAAAGCTTGTAAGGAATCTTAATACCCTAGCTGGGTTGGTCAGGTTATACTTGCTTCTTGCTTACTTTCAGTTTCCCTACATCACTATCAATGAAACCTCACAGTTGATTTGTTGCATTTCTTTCATCCCTGGGACTCATCTTGCATTGAGATATCCCAGATCTGTCTGAGTGGAAGCATCATTACTGTCAATCATAGCAGTCCCCATCTTGCCAGTCCAGGATTTGCTACTCTTCTTACGAAGCTCACAATCTCAAGTGATACCTATTTCCATTACACATATATATATATACATACACACACGTACAAATTGATTTTGTCCTGCAAATGCAGTCACTGTTAAATTTCACCCAAACCAGACATGAACTCCTCTTCAAAGAGATGAGAGATTGCTTTATGTTATGAAACACAGTATTAGCATCCCATTATGGTAGGTAGGAGACTGCTGTGAATATTCCTACCAGTTGGTGGGTAAGAACAGTTTCCTTTCTGTGGTCTTAAAAAAGCAGCTATGTTTGTATTAGCTTGAGCGAACACTTCAACAACTACATTTTGACCTCTTAGACTGTCTGACCACCAGAGAAATCAGAGAAATATGAGAGAAGTTATTAGCTCTTGAGCAGCCCAAATGCTAATCTTTGCCATATTGTGCTGTCCCTGTGGACTTGATCATCATTGGCTCCAAAGAGGGACATTTGGACTACTGTATCCACAAATCTTTCTAGCACATGCGTGAAACAATCCTGTATCTTCTCATGTTCTGTTAATAATCTGAATAATATTTGCTTCTTTTATTTGGATGCAGCGTCTGAGTCCTGTCTGGCTGCTGAGCAGACTTCTCCCAGACGACTTTGAAACACATTTGGCAGTTCCTTGCCCATATGTGCTCCCTCAGACATGCCTCCTAAAAATCACACAACTAGACAGTTGCTCAGAAATCAACACGTGTTCCCCTCAGACATGACAGGTACTGTTAGCCTGCGACTTCAGCTATTTTAACACAGTCAGATGCTACAAACATGGGTTTAGTATAAAATAGCATTTAGCTAGCTAGTAATCCTCTATCAGTAATGAGATGGTGATTTTCTCTGTTAGAAAAACTAAGCAGACTATTTCCTAATAGAAAACTGTTGCCTCTGCACCAAGTAAAAGAACAGCAGGGAACATAGTAGGTACGTAGTAGCCCAAGGACCTGTGTTTACTCAGTTTCAGGGCATATGGGAAGGTGATAAATTAGACATAAAGGGTTGAGCTTAATGTTGCAGGAGAGGCATGTTGATCATTTTCTCTCCTACTTCTGCCCCTCCCTTTCAATCCCATCTCCCTCCTCCTATTTTTCTACTGGTGGAGATACATTTCCACAGCATGCAGCCTTTCCTCTCTAATAAACTTTTCCTTCTATCATCAAGATGAAAGCCTTGAAAGGGATGGTATTTATGGAGAACATTCTAACCTTCACAGCATACTTCTCAGGAACTAGCATGCTGCAGGACAGAGAAAGCTTCTGAGTGAAGCTATGTGGTCGCTTTTTAAAACGCACACAATGAAATCCTGGGAGGGCTGGAGCCACAACAGCTTCTAGTCAACCAAACATGACTATCTCTGACTTCCCTCTCAGCATCTGTAATTGTCCTAAGCCGGAGTCCAAGGGAGCAAAAAAAAAACCCAGATGTTAAAACAGCAGTGGATAGCCAGGGAGAGGGGGCAATGCAGGAATGGGAGTAAAGGATTGAGAGAGAGAAAAGGCAAGAGATTTATTCAGCATTTCCTTGTCTGTCTCCTCCACAAACTGAATCACAGAAGCATGAAAGTAGATGTATTGAATCTCAAAGGAAATAAAAGAAGTGGAAAATTAACTACTGATGAAAAAAATAGCTGTGTCCAGGGATTCCTGCATATCAACTCTGAGCTTCCTCTTATCGGCTTAGAATAGAAAAGGCCAGGGGACTGGGGAGGAAAGGTCAAACACTGAGGGGAAAACACAGGCAAGGAAAAAAATGAGAGCTAACATGGAAATCAATGGAAAAGAGCATGATGGAAAAGAGCCGATCCTGTTTCAGACGATTTGCATGCACTGCCCTGAGTGCCATTTCCCAATTGCTGCATCATGACTGGGTGAGGTTGGCTTAAGGCTGAGGCTTAGAAAAGCCACACCACTTTCTGCTTTTCTTTCCACCCCTCTATTTGGCAACAGGTAATAAGAGTGGGCTGGGGAAACCTCAACAACAGCAGCTGCCACCATCTGCACCAGCACATAGTTGAGCCAATTGTGAGCTGCCTCGTGCCAGGTCTGAACCTACCTTAGGAGCTCTTCCCTGCTGGTTCCTAATGGCTTAGACACTGTGCACAAAGTTGGTCTCTTTAATTCTGGCTGGATCCTGGGCCTTGCGTTTTCCTGTATCCTACACTGTTATTCCCTTTTAGTTTTGAATAAGCTTTGACCTTATTTCTCTCCTGGGCCTCCCTATCCACATTGACATAAGTAGCCACCTCAGGTTTCCAGATGATGAGAGATAAAAGGCTGCATATCCACAGCCTTTTATCACATATCTTTCTGATCGTAGGTCCACTGCTATAGTAGCATTGGGAATTGTTAACAAAAGACTGGAATAAGCGTATGTTTTTACTACTGCCCACAGGTAGTCGATACATGGGACCTTAAAGTTTGGCTTCTAGTGTAAGTAAAACTGGTTACCCAAGCATATTCCAAACAAATGGCTCCCCACACAAGCACCCCCTGCCCCCTGTTACACATCAATTATCAACACTGTGCAAAGATATCTCCTTTTCAGATATCTCCACTGAATCCCAAAGCCTGCCTCCCAAAGAACAACTGTAACTCCAAAATAGCCTTCAGCTGGAAAACAAACCAGCTATTCAGATTGCTTCCTCAAATCAGTACAACCAAAGTGACAGAAAAATCAGCTCTTCCAAAGACTGAATATTTGCTCACAATCAGTCAGGGCCAAGGAGGACACACTAAGATGTGACGTACATGGGAATACACTGGTGACATAATTCAGCAATATTAGTTGTACAAATACAGACTAAATGACAACCTCTTACAGAAAGAGTTAAGAGCTTTAGAGAAGAGAATAAAAGCGGGGGAGTGGGAGGGAAGCAGGACAGATGGGTTAACAAACATAATAGGATGTGCATAATTCTCAACTACTTGGGAACAGTAATCACAAATCACCACCTGCCCAGTTACTATCAGATGGCAGGTTTGCCTCTTCACATTCAACAAATCTGTTTCCTGTGCATGCATCACAATCAGACTTGGTGCATTCACTTAAAGTAACTTTCCTTGTCCTACACAGCCAACTCAGGGGGAAAGATCAGGAGTTTACACCTATACAGCAAATTATTTACTATATTTGCATCAGTAAAGGAGCTGAAACAAGGAAGCCTTCAACATTCCAGGGCACCTCATTTTGGCTCACAGAAACTTTTGCTTTATGTGAGGCTTGACTTTAAAACTACAGTTGAGTGCTGCAGAACATGTTTTGAACTGCATCTCGTTCAAGTAGATAGTATTTGCTCTCTTGGTACCAAGAGGAAATAAGTGTGGAATTCTCCAAACTCACTGGAATTGCCATATCACAAACCTGAGCTTATGAAGAGAGTTTGTAACACTTTTGAGCAGAAGAAAAATTTCACTTGTGAGTATCCAAGTGAATTTGGGTTAATTTTGACAGATGCTTGGGGATAAAAAAAACCCTGAGGTGTGGGGAAAGACAAGAGAAAGAAATCTAGGAAGAGTCAATCCAAAATAAAAGAGCAAACCAGCAGAGCCTCAATTAAAACATCAGGCAATGGGAGGCATGGTTGAGTATTCCACTGACAGAGGACCATTTACTGTAGTATATCCCTAAGTGTAACCAAACCTTTAACAGTAGTGTTATGTACTCATAACATAACTGGCTTTCAGGTATCCTCATTCTAAGCTGAGCTTCCCATTGAGCATTAAGGGCACACGTAGGTCTGTGAGATGACGGTTACCCAATTCCTGTGATAAAAAAAGGAAAACATATGTGAGAGGGAAATGTGCAACCTTGGGCGCTTCTCTCATGGGATAGTGACATTGCTGGCTTGTCTTTAAGGAAAACCTTGGGAGGAAATTCTCCTCGGGGGAAAAAAAATACCCAATTATAATGGGAGACTATTTGTCAAGTAGGTAAGAGACTGGAGAAAACGGGACCTGGACGTCAGGAGCTTAACTGGGCACCCTGGAAGGAGGCCAGTCAAGTCCATAGCAAAGAATCCTCATAGCTCAGGCTGACCTAATTTACCTCTCGTCAAGTGTTGCATCTACACCAGCTGAATGATGTACAGAGCAGCAGGCACCAACCCAGGGCCTGCATCCTACATGAGGTGGGCAAAGGATAGCCCATTCAACATGGAAGTGTAGAGTCCTTCCAGCTTTTCCACAGCTTATCGCAAGTTATCTTGCTTCCCTCCTTCCCTTGCTGTCAGCAGGGTTTCTTCTGGCATGGATTTAGCCCTCTCCAATCAACCAGGTGATCAGCACTGCTGTTTAAGCCTTTGCTGGCCAGAGGGATAAAGGAGACATTCTTCAGGCTTGCTTGCTCACTCGCCACTCGACTGTTGCAATTTCTCCTTATCATTGTCCATGAGACCGAGCCCACAGAAGTGAAGAAAGTGGAAGTTATTTTCTCCTGTTGTTTTGAATGCGTGGTAGAGCAGAGCCAGGATTTCATTCTCAGGGCACTGCAGGTTCACAGCCCTTGTGTTGACAGCACAATCGCTTATCTCTCCACAAGGCACTGCATATAAGAAAGAGACACAGCACTGGCCAAGGTTCATTTCTCTTGGCAAAAAGCAGTGGTATCCCAGAGGTGAGCAGCTTCCTGAGCCAGCCCAGTTGGAAACACCAGCTCAGAGGTGAAGCACCATGCTTCTTTGGCAGATTCAGGCTAGAAATGTTCAACAGCAAGGGTAATTACCTTCTGGGACAGCATGCCAAGGCTTGTGGGGAGGCTTCCTTGCAGGGATATCTTTAAATCAAGCCTAGATTATTCTGGCCTGTGGTCCAAATGCAGCACCCAGGACTTGAGGCAGGAATTATCACAGAGCTAACCCATAGCACTGAGGTCAATGAAAACAAAGTCTTCTTTTGCCATTCTTACCAAGCACCCTGTATCAAAGAGCCCCCTAACCTGGGGATCCTCATCACACAATCATCATGATGTGAGAAAGACCATGAGTGTGGGTGATGAATATAGAGGACTATCACCCCACCATGTGTTTTCTGAAGGCTTTCTTTATTGCTCGTTCATGTTTGAGCCAGTAGAGTATCTTAGGCACTCTTATCCTCTCTATTACCTTCCAGCATAATAGAAACCAAAGCAAATTGACTTATCTCAGCTGGTTACCATGCTGAAACTTCTCAGACATTCAGCAGGTGAATCCAATGCCTTAAAGCCCATTACTCAGGAGAAACAAGGTTGTACCCCCTTCTGGATCTAAATGCCTAGGCACCTGAGCAAGTTTAGACCTCTTCTCACCAAGAAAAGCAGGAGGAAAGGAAAGAAAAACAGAGCATCATCAGAGCTCCCCTTCCACCCAAGAACCTGGTTTCCCCACTGGCAAGGTGGGATTTCACAATAGCTTTCCTTTCTTCACAGAGAAGTCTGGTTTCAGGTTTTAATCCTTTGTTACAGAACTGAACATCACCATGCACTGGGAAGTGCTCTGCTACAGAGTGAGAGTTTGGGTGACTACTCTTGGATCATTCACTTATTGTCTACCAATCTTGTTCTACAACTGCATTGCTGCTAGGGAAAGCAAGAGCAGAACAAGATCTGCTGACCCCTGCAGTGCATTCTAGCCCTGTGCTCCACTGTTGTCTGATCCTCAACTTACAGTAGAGCAAAAAGGAAAAAGGAGACTTGCAAACATTTACATCAAATTCCACCTGCTGCCTGGCATTTTTAGGGTAGGAAGGGAAAATCCGGTCCACAAACAAGGGAAAAATAGGATTTGAATCCTAATAGATATACCTGAGTGGCTCTGCAACACACTGCATTATCTCATGCTGCTTGGGTAAGCATGCAATTTGGCACAAACTGGTCCCTTGCTTGGAGGGCTTCCTCACACTCCGAGCATGATCTTTAGGCAAGAAAGGCAGTTAAAGACTTACCTTACAAAGTCCCTGAGGACTGCAATTCTAACTTGTGACGGTCAAACCAGTGTACCCCAGAAATCTCTCACTGGAGTAGCTAGTAAGTATAAAAACAGACAGGAAGTTTATGTCTGTGTTGCCCATGAACTATCCGCAAAAATCAGTGACATAATAAGACACTGCTGCAGCGAAAGTCAGTTGTAGAACACTGAAATTGACTTCACTCACTGCTTCCCCTTGGGTGGCTGAAACCATGGATTTCAACTAAGCTTTGCACTCAGATGACGCTCTTCTGAGGAAGCCCTACAGAGCTGCTGTTATCGCTGTTGTGCTTCCCAGGCAATGGCTCATCCGACTCCTGTATGTTCACAGAACACAAGCATCTACTGCCTTTACCTTTTCCTCCCGCAGAGCACTGCATCTCCTTTCCCCCCCCCATCATTTGCTAGTGGGCTTGATGGGAGGGCTGCATCTTCCTGCCCTCATCTGGCTGCTCTGGGTGGGAAGGAAGCTCACCCAGATGATTTCAGCAGTTCTCATGAGTATTTTATGGTCTTTTACTGATTTACAGCCAGTTCAGCATTCTTGTAAATGGCCATAAATTGGATTGAAGTCATAAATCATAAGCAGACAGAGACACAGTCTCTGAGTCCCAGCTCAGGCTAAACGAGCCTCTATGAATATACGGAAGAAACCTGTTCCCTCAATCAATACACACAGCACAAGCAACAGCAATGCTCCACAGGATCCACTCCCTATTCCTCTTCCATAAGGCTGTAACAGGCTAAAACTGTTTCTTCATACAGATCAGCACAGGGAGATTCCCACCCCATACGCTACTTCTGGGGCGTGATTTCCTCCTTTCTCCAGGGACGACAGCAGAAAGTTGCAGGTTGTTATTCTTCTGAAACATCTGATCCACACAGGGCACTGGGAGCTGAAGTGTCTTGCTTCCATTCCACAGGCAGATGTGTCTTGCTTCCATTCCACAAGCCCAGCACCTAACACTTAGGGTTCTTTTTGTATCTTTCCCTTTTGTTTCCCTAGCTCAGTTTTAGAATCTAGCCTGTAAGCACTTCTGAAAGCATCTGACACAGCTGCTGCAAGCCAGACCCTTCATATTTCTCTAGCTTGACTGCAGCCTGGGAAAGATAAACTGATTCTTTACATCTCCTTAACATAACAACAGAACACTATGCAAGCTCTAAACATTGAAGGGCAGGAAGCACCAGCACAGAGACCCCTGCAGCTCCCCATAACCCTTCCTACAGACACTAAAACACAGCAAGACCCATTGCCTGACCCTGCCAGGCTTTTTGAGGTCCTGGGGGCTGACAGGTGAGTTGCTTTGACACCACTTTCTAGACAGAGCACCTGATGGAGATGACCCTCAACGTCTTCCCTGCAGGCTTAAAGGGCACTTGATGCTTCTAGCATCTAGCAGGTCTTAACACACCTGCAATGAATGGGGTGATTTGCTTACTGAAAGTCATGTGAAAAGCTACTGCAAAAGCATATCCAGTAGTGCCTCCTTAGGAATCACAGCCTCTGTGTTATGATCCTGCAAAGAACTGTGGCATTGTCCAGCTAGTGGCTGCGGATTCAAACCCTGTTCATACAAGCAGTTGAACCCTTCTCATAGAATCATCGAATGGTTAGGTTCAGACTTGGTTATGGGGAGATTTATGTTAGATATAAGGAAGAAATTCTTCCCTGTGAGGGTGGTGAGGCACTGGCACAGGGTGCCCAGGGAAGCTGTGGCTGCCCCATCCCTGGCAGTGTTCAAGGCCAGGTTGGACGGGGCTGGGAGCAACCTGCTCTAGTGGAAGGTGGCCCTGCCTGTGGCAGGGGGGTAGAACTGGATGATCTTTAGGTCCTTTCCAACCCAAACCATCCTGTGATTCTATGTTTATATTTTATTTAACCAGATGTATTGACTTAGACTTATACATACACCCGCTAAATAGAATCATGTGCCTTTCTATATATTCTGTATTGAAATGAAAACCACTGGTCAGTTGCCAGTATGAAGGGAGGATGACCTCACAGAAGAGTACCCTAAAAAAAGACATTTTCTAATAGCCTGGAAGAGGAGATGAACTCCTTGCTTTTTCAGCTTTCTGTTCATTAATCACCTTGCTGTTACTCTGTGCTCCCCCTGTTCACTTGTATCTGCTTCTTTCCCCCTGCCCCTTGTCTTATTTTTACTTGTTTGTGCATTACTGTCATTGTGATAACACCTCAAAGCCCTAGGCTGGACTAGCTCCCTACTGTGCTGAGCACAATACGAAACACAAAGACATTCGTATTTACATGTGGGCAAGGGTGACTGTTTCCAGGGTTCTTTTCAGTTTTATTCCAGTAGCTTTCAGCAGATAGCCCAGACGCTACTTCAAAGGGCTCTGTCCAAAGTGTCTAAAAATAAGCCCCCGGCTGATAGCTGAGAACTTCTTTAGAGGACTTGCATAATATGGGAGGAAAATTTAAAAACTTCAATTTTTTTAAATAAGGATTTTTTAATTTTATTTTTTTGTAAGACAGCAGAACAAAAATCAGAAAACCTCAGGGAGAAAACCCACAGTTGTTCTGCTACAGTAAATAATACTATGACTAATAGCTATGATAATGTCATAATTGACCTGTAGTTGTTTGGCAAGACTCTAAAGAAGAGTCATAGTGATTTGACCATTTATATCAGCATTCAGATTCTTGGAAAAACATGTTCTTTCAAAGCTGCAATTAGCTGGTAATGCTAATACCAAGGTAAAGTATTGCCATTGCATTGATGGTTGAGAGCATTTCAGGAAACTATGAAAGGAACAAAGTATTATTGATTGTTATTATTTCCCATTGGACACTTATCACCATGCCATGATTTCTTTGTTTTGGTTTAATTTTCATTTTTGTCATCCTTTTTCACTCTATACTGCAGGTCTGATCACCTAATCACTTAACTGTATGCTGTACCATGAGTGGGACAGATAGAAAACAAAACAAGCTAACTCAGAATTGATGGCATCAGCACAGTACAGAGTCAGAGCTTATCTTCCTTGTCACGCAGCAGGGATCTGTGACTTGGCCATCAGTCCCAGGGACACATAAATGCAGCTTTGAATCAGTTTAGAGCTCTTGGATCCAGAAGCATGAAAAGCAGCCTGTATCCTTTGGTTCAGGACCTGGGTACAATCAAAACAGCTTTCTTGACTGCCTGGACCAGCAGCTTTCAATGTATTCGAATTCCTTCCATCACAATGCAGATATAGCTTTCCAGATGTCTCTACATGGCCCTTAAATAGGACAATAACAAATAAGAGTGTTCGGCTAAAGGGTGAAGACTCTTCTGACACTGACATCATAGCCATCACCACTGATTCTGAAGAGTTGGTGGGGTGGGAGGCACATATTACCAAAACACTGCCTATATGGTGATGCACTTTGCAGGCATAAGGCAGTGGATCTCAGAAGTACTATCCAGCCGCAGAGGATGTGAAGGCTAAGCCACTTCACCATGGGCCATTTGTCCAAATGTTGCCAGCAAATAAATCCTAACATTTACAGGTGAAGAAAAGTGTACTTTAGTTTTGTGTTTGTTAAGTGGAGTTTTAGTCCATGAGCTACTAAGGGACTTCTATTTTACTACTACTAGACAGAGGAACAGCAAAAGCAGAGGCAAAGGTGTTTGCAGATTCTTTTGGAGTTCATTTTCTGAGCAAGAGAAGACAGGACTAGCAAAGCCACAAGGTGACACCAAATCATTAGGGTCAACTAAAGTAAAAGGACTCAAACAATTCAGGGGTGGTGGTAGTTTCTCCATAAATCTCCTGGCTAGGATGTCACCCTCAGGCTGAATAGAAGCTTGCAATGAATTCTTCTCCTTAGAAATAGTTGCCCTTCACTGGGTGCTGCTGAATCTCTCTTGTCAGAGAAGATTTATTCTTGGGAAATAATTAAAAACCAATTCAGAACGTTCTTCCTTTTGGAATGGAATATATTACATTGATTAGCAGAGAGTGGGGGGTTGGCTTGGGTGGTTTTTTGTTTCCCCCCAAGGACAAGAGACATTTGTGCCTGCCACAAAGTCTTCCTTCACCCCTTGTGACTTTAAATGACAAACATTGTCCATGATGCTCTAAGAGTGCTAAGCGTGGCATCATTTTCAGACACAAAATGTCTCCCTCCCTCTCATTCTCTTGCACATATGGCATCTCAAAAGATAACGACAGACTATAAATTCACACCAAGGTTATGGAGACTTTCAGCAGAGAGAAAGAAAAAGTTGGCTATTTTTTGATGGCCTTTTCTGTGAACTGTGAAGAAAACAAGCAATGCCATCACCAGACTCAGGCAGAAAAACAGCGATATTAGAAAAGTGTTTCCTAGTCTGAAATGTTGCTCACAGCAAAGCACAGTCTAACGCTTTTGTGTTTGTGGGGTGTTGCAGCCTTCCTTTGACTGAGGTTTGTTTAAACCACAGCTCTGTTTTGCTCAAAAGCTTTAAGAAATAATGTTTTTGTGTCTTTTGGATCCAGACATAGCCTTACGTGTCAATATTGGGCTCGGTTCTCTGTTTCTGTCTGCTCGCTGACACCTGCAGAGCTGGCTCAGGCCTATAGGAGGGATCTGTCCATTCTATGCAATGCCACTACACAGTTGCCTGGAAGGAGACCTCAGAATGCTCTGACCCCAGGGCCTCAAAGTCCATATTTCCCAGTGCCTCAAAGTCCACATTTCCAGCTTCTGGTCATCAACTCCCCTGTTCCCCTCTGTTGCAGTGCCTGCAAATGAGAGAGAGAAGCTGTAGCTACTGCAGTGCATTAAAAATATCAATATAAGTGATGCATAGCAGAAAGTTAGGCACAGACACTATAGATGTGTAAAAATGCTGTTGTCCTGCCACTCATATTCTTTATGGCAATCTGGTAAGAGAGAGAAGTTTCAAAGCATCACCAGTGCCCTCTTTAAACATCTGCTCCACCGCAAAACTCAACCAGTATCTGCAGAGCACACTGTAACACTGAGCAGGGCTTCCCTGGGCAGTCAGGGAGTGTGAATGGCAGTACCAGCTCCACACTGTGGGACTGTCAGAGCTGAGGCAGGCTCAGACAACTGGGGGACATGAGAAGGTATCTCTGCTGGCATGCTGGTCCCTGTACTGGGGATGTGCTAGACAGTGAGAATCACCCCCCTGCCCGGCACTTCCCAAAGAGCCATGTTCTGTTTTACTGATGAAGTGCTTTTTGCATGGCAAATGTAGGCAGAGCCGAACAGATTCGATTCTGCAAAAGGCTGTGTTTTGCAGTCCTGTGTTTAATTGGGGTAAATGGAATATGAATGACAAGTGCAGAGTGATGACTTCGATGTGCTATTTGTCTGGTGAGGAATTTGTGAAATATGTGTTTTTCTGTAGAGAGTGCATGGTAGTAAAGAAGGGCCAGAGTCAGCACAACCTCAGAGCGATGGAGAATAAAGCATTCTACTTTTGTGGCCATTGATCTGATGACACTGTGGGTAATGGATGGACAAGGTTAGTCTCAGAATGCCTGATTTTGCTCAAATCATTGCTGGAGTCAGATTTAAGGTTGCTTCACCGTGCAATTCTGCATTTACCATTATTAGAGAGTCCCATACCTTCACACTCACTTTGAATTTCCTATGCTTTTAGTGACTGATGGGTTTGGAAGGTTTTTTTTAGAGAAGCATATCATTCTGGAGAGATGGTTTTAGGTGATTATTTTTGTTTACCTGAACTGTATTAATTTTACCTTGCAGTCTTAGATCCATGTTTTTATATGGAATTGCATTTTGCAGTTAATGTGTTTCAGGTTTTTTGTTTGTTGTTTGGGTAATAAATGATACTGTCTGTTGGGTTAAACTGGGGTTTTTTTAGCACTTATTTTGTGAGAAGTTTTAAATGGAGGCAAGAAGAGATCCCTGATTAGTTAAGCAAACCTAAGTAGCACGAACAGATTCCAGACCTGCTTGGGGCTACACTGCAAGAACAGATGCTCTTGGGGAAATGCCTCCACAGGCAGGGAATGGCATATTTTGTTATGAGGTGCTGTACACTGTGCCTTCATTAAAGGAGCCTTTGAAGAAAGAGCTGTGGCAGGAGAAAGCAGGAGAGTGGTAACCAAACTGATGCTTGCAAAAAGAAACTGAACACTTCACAGCACTTTCGCATTTCCGTATCACCACCTGCCACTGAGGGCATCAGCCCTGGACTGTTAAGTCCACTTGTAGCTTTGAAGTCCCTTTGCATACCTTACTGCTATGTAACTACCAGACAATCCTGTTATTAAAACACTTCTACTTCCAGTTGCAACCTGCCAGAAGATGGTGTCCTATCCTACCAGACACAGGTCTCAGCACAGTGA